ACAATTTGGGAATTACCTTTTTGCTCACAGGGTTACCGTGGCTCGATTATGTGTACCTATTTTAAGAAGTGTGCTGTCATTTCTTCACCGCTTGCCCTGATTATTGCCAAAAACTAATTAAATTTTGTCATTTTAGTCATGCAGAATTTTTTTTCCTCTTACAGAAACCTCGCTCCTCTCTCTTTAACCTACTTCTGGGGCTTTCAAATATCTGTGGCCATGTTCCGTTCTGTTTCCTGACTTTCCCTACTCCGGCTCTTCCACATCCCTATCCAACCCTGATTAAATTAACTCCTGAATAATACACCATATTGCATACAGGGGGGGAAGTAAGGGAGGGAGAAACTTTCTCTCCCCCCCCCCATTTCTTAATAGAAGACTGATTTTTATTATATTACTGGAGAAATAAGATTGCTCTTGCCGTCTCAATAAATCACCCATGTATCTCCGTGCTTCTTTCGCCCCCTCCCCTAAATTAAATTTTTATTTAAATAAAAGTGTTATGTTTGTATTTGAACTGACAGCTAAATCTGATAATTAGAGTGCATGAAGTTAGCTTTGATTGGCATTGTAATTGGATTGTCATTGGGCTGAAAACCTATTATCTTTGGATCATGCCCCATGAAATCTGTTGAAGTAACTTTCCTGCCAGTCATTAAAGCCACCATCTTGGCTTACAAATGAGGTTTTAAAAGGCTTCTTTCTTTCTCTCTCTCACCATTGGGAATGTAATTTAAACCGCCGCAATTGCACTCCCATTAATTAAAATTATATTAAAATTATGGTTCATTTTCTAAATATTTTTTTCCATATTTTATTAGACATCCTTATTACTAAATGCTTTGGGAGGAAAAATTAGACAGCTCTGCTAGCAAAATTATATTTTGAGATAATCTCTCCGAAAAACACATGCTACTCGTCATCAGCAGGGGGTGGGGATTAGTCAACGTGTTGATCATTAAAGGATGCGCCATTGGGGCTGTGTTTGATTTGCATCTTTCGTGAACCCAATACAGTACAGTAATAATAATTTTTCAAAAATGTGTTATTTACGGATATGTGTGCTTCTATAATAAATGGTATGACATGCCAGTGATGAAGAAAGATGGTTAAAATCCATTGCTTAAACTTGATATAGACTATTAAGCTCCTAATTGTTCTCAAAGTTACTTGTGAAACCTGGGTTCATGCATGCACTGCAAAATTAACTTGCTCCTACCTCCTTACCTATGGTGGTCTTCAGGGTTAAGAACATAAGGAAGAGCTCTCCAAACAGACCAAAGGTCCAGCCAGCCCAGTATACTGCTTCCAGCATTGGCCAGCTAGATGCTTTCAGGGACAAAGGCAACAGTCTCTCTCTCCCTCTTTTAAATTTATTTATTTGGTTTTTCAGATTACAGTTTTGCAATCACATATCCAACATACTACATAAAAACAAGATTCCGAAGAAGAAGAAGAAGCAGAAGCAGCAGCTGTGGTTAATTAGAAATGATTTAATCAAGGCATATGTATTTACAAGAGCCAGAGCAATAAACAGGTATTTGTTGGCATTGGGTATCTCAATACTTATTCAACAACCATTATACAAGGACCAGAGCCATTACCTTGATGCGACATGCATGCACATAACTGAGTGTGTGCAGTTCAGCTGTTAGCAACCAGGTACCCTCTGGCCCATGTATTTGGGAGCATGCTAGCTGGAGCTGATGGGATTTGTTGTGCAAAGTACCAGGTTTTGTCCTCCTCCTCATCCCTGTGAAATTATTAGTTGGTTGTAAGTAAGGAGGCAAGCAAGTGGGGGCTGGATGAGAAGAAGAAGCGTTTGGATTTGACATCCGGCTTCATCACTACCCTAAGGAGTCTCAAAGCGGCTCACAATCTCCTTTCCCTTCCTCCCCCACAACAAACACTCTGTGAGGTGAGTGGGGCTGAGAGACTTCAGAGAAGTGTGACTAGCCCAAGGTCACCCAGCAGCTGCATGTGGAGGAGTGGAGATGCGAACCCGGTTCCCCAGATTACGAGTCCACCGCTCTTAACCACTACACCACTTCCCTCCACCCCTTGTTAGTCATTTCCTCCTGCATCTTTTATAATAATCCGGATCTTTTACATCTCCATTATATCCGAAGTTCACCATTAAATTAAAAGTGTTATCCCAATCCTTCTAAGAATTTTCACTGTTTACAATAGTTTTTTTTAAGATAAATTATAAATTCCCCCCATTCTTTATTAAAAAATTTGGTCTTCCTGATTTCTTATTCTTCTGGTCATTTTTGCCATTTTGACATAATCCATCAACTTCATCTGCCATTCTCCTCTGGTCAGGACTTTATCTTCTTTCCATCTCTGGGCCAATAACATCCGAGAAGCCCTGGTCGCATACATAGTCTTTTCTGCTCCGTTGGATTTTGGCACCCAAAATTCCTAAAAGAAAGGCTTCAGGGTGTTTTTTTAAGGAAAAGTTATTTTAAACTTTTTTTTCCAATTCAGTGTCTTCCCATTGTCTTCCTCAACTTTTTTTGAGGTACGCTCCCTCTCTGATGATGGAGGTTCCATTTAGTTGGTTGATAAACATTGACACACCTCTCTTCCATGAATTAAGCAAGAACTTAGCCTTCGTCTTGGTCCATATGCTTACTGGGCATGATGATTCAAATTTTGGTGTCATTTGCTTTGCAAGGAGCTCAAGGTTCTCCATTCTTCATTCTCCACACCCTGCCCATATAGCAGCCTTGTGAGAGTTGACAGATTGTGACTAGTCCAAGGTCATACAATGAGTTTCATAGCTGACTGGGGATTTCAACCATGTTCTTTCAGGTCCAACACTCTCACCGCTGCAGCACACTGGCCCCAATCCCCTCTCAGTTCAGAGGAATACACAGAAGAGGAAGAAGCATTGCCAAGGGAGTCGTCATCCCCTGTACCAGGACCACCCAGGCCAGAGGACATGGATTCACTTGACTCCTCGGATCCAACAGCCAACACAGTCCTCACCTCTCCCACACTGTGGGAGCCAGTGGTTGCTGTATTGAGCAACAGTCCTTCAAGAAAACATACATCTGCTCAGAGGGGGAAGGGTAACAGCAGGCCCTGACCAGCCAGCTTTTTGTGGTGTGGCATAGCTTACTTTGACTTGGCTGAAGGACTTGATTCTTCCATGCCAGTAAGTGTGGCTGCTCCTTCTCCTTTCAGTGTCAGGTTAAGATTTCTTTGCTCTTCCAGACCCTTAAGGAGCTGGGTGTATGTCTCTATGGTATGGGTGACGGCTTTAGCATATGTATTTGGTGGTGCTCATAGTTCTTTCTTGTCTAAAATTTTAGACAAGACTCAGAACTTTGCATGCAGAAGGTTCCAAGTTCAATCCTGTTTAAATAAGAGTAGCAAAATCGCAGCTAGGTAAAGGTAAAGGGACCCCTGACCATTAGGTCCAGTCATTGAGGCACTCATCTCACTTTATTGGCTGGGGGAGCCGGTGTACAGATTCCAGGTCATGCGGCCAGCATGACTAAGCCGCTTCTGGCGAACCAGAGGAGTGCACGGAAACGCTGTTTACCTTCCCGCCGGAGCAGTACCTATTTATCTACCTGCAGTTTGACGTGCTTTCAAACTGCTAGGTGGGCAGGAGCAGGGATCAAACAACGGGAGCACACCCTGTCGCGGGGATTCGAACCGCTGACCTTCTGATTGGCAAGTCCTAGGCTCTGTGGTTTAACCCACAGCGCCACTCGAAAATCGCAGCTAAGAAGCTCAAAATCATATTTATGACTGGCACCCTTCTTCGGAAACTAAACCAATGTCCAGACTTCAACATCCGAAAACTTTACTTACAGAAACTTATAGGTGAATTAAATCATAATATTTACAGTCACATGCTCATCTAAGCATGGGTTTACAGTCTCTTTCTAACTTCCAAACAACTGTATTTTCCTCTCTTTCATGAGCTCAGCACTCAGCCTTCGTATCTCAGTTAGGCCATGCCTTGCAGCTCCTATAAGGGATTTCCACTTTCCCCTTCTCCTGCCGCTTTCCTCTCTTTCTTTCAAGCAGAGAAGAAGAACTCCAACGCTCTATTCAACTTAGCAGTGATCACAGTGGAGTCTGAAATGCAGTCATCTTGCTTCACATTAAACGGAGTCTCTCCTTCACTAGATACCTCCCATGTGACCAATGTTAGCCAGTCACATGAGAACTACTAGAGAACTTTAACCACCCAGGATTCCTTTACCCTTTACCTTTACTAGAGAAGTCTCTAGAATTCAGTTACCAACCAATCAAATTTAATCACATATTAACGCATACATTAGGGAACTTTTAATGTTTGTTGCATTACAGTATTTTAATATTTTGTTGGAAGCTGCCCAGAGTGGCTGGGGGGAAGCCCAGCCAGATGGGTGGGGTATAAATAAATAAATAAATAAATAATTATACAAGCATTTACAATTTCAGTGAATTAAATTACTATGCTTAACAAATCCCTGGCACTTCCAGCTGGGTTTGCTATGCCCCCTTCCTGAAACCTAGAGAGCCACTGCTAGGCAGCGTAGAAAATTCTGAGTTAGTATGAGGCAACTGACTCAGTATGAGGCAACTTCCTCTGAAGTTGCAAGAGCTTTAAACATTCTAAAGCTGTACATATATGCCACATATGATTAACGAGGGTCACAGCACTTAATTGACGGAACCAATTAAAAATGTTTTGGCTGGTTCCCCCCATTTGTTGGGCTGCAATTTGTTGTTTTCTTTTACTATTATTCTGTTTCTGTGCAAGCGCTTACAAATATCGCAGCCCAGAAGGGTCATTCGCTATAAATTTATTTATAGCATTTCTGAGACTCTTCATAAAGTAAAATTCTGTAGGCATCGCATTGGGTAAAGGTAATGAAATGCGACAAAACAAAACTACAGTGAACTTGAGAGAAAAGCAATATGGAGTCCAGGAAGTTCTCCAGGAAGTCACTGTAGGGGCCTTCAGATGTTCTCCAGTGTGGGAGAGCCAGTGTGGTGTAGTGGTTAAGAGCGGTAGTCTCGTAATATGGTGAACCGGGTTCGCTTCCCCGCTCCTCCACATGCAGCTGCTGGGCTAGTCACCTTGGGCTAGTCACACTTCTCTGAAGTCTCTCAGCCCCACTCACCTCACAGAGTGTTTGTTGTGGGGGAGGAAGGGAAAGGAGAATGTTAGCCGCTTTGAGACTTCTTAAAGGAAGTGAAAGGAGGGATATCAAATCCAAACTCTTCTTCTCTTCTTCTTCTTCTTCTTCTTCTTCTTCTTCTTCTTCTTCTTCTTCTTCTTCTCCTTCTCCAGGAAGTCACTGTAGGGACCTTCAGATGATACCACCCATGTATACAATCCCACCACACCAACCTGCTTTGTCCTGCAACCCCTCTTACAAATTCTTTAAATGCAGAGGCATCTCATCTTTCTGTGGTGGCTTGTGGTGGGAATATTGGAGTGACAACTTGGGCCTTGGATACCTTACTGAACCTCGATGTGAAGAACCTGTGGACCTTCAGACATCAATGTAGTCCATCATAAGCAATGGTCAGGGAAGATGAGGGTTTTCCTTGTAACTTCTGGAAGCATAGGTGCCATCCATGAGGGGTTGTGAGGGCCCAGGCACTCACAAATTTTCAATGAAGGAGACACGCACCCCAGTTCTATGTGGCAGCACATGCACACCATGGGGCATGCTCGTATCATGTGCACTCGCCACGGGGCGTCCACACAACACATTGGCACACCCCTGTGACGGGCGTGAGTGATGTCAACATGTCACAGGGAGTGCCAACATCTCACATACACATTCCACAGTGATGTTCTCATGCCCCGGGCCCCCTCTGTTGCAGGGGCAAGGCAGCGCACCTGTCTGGAAGGTCCCAGGTTCTCCACCTTGCCTTAACTGTTCTCTTACAATCTGGTGAAGCAGCAGTTACTGCTCAATAGATCATGACTTAATCCTCGAGAAGTCTCTCCAGACCTTGCTTAAGTCCTTCATGTGGAACACAGAGGAGAGGACAACAAGCAGGAAGAGGAAGGTGTTTATGGTCCCATGATGACGATCACATTACTGGAAATCATTATATCAGTTCACGCTTCATCGGAGTCTCCTTTATCGGACCATCATGCCTTTTCTCAAGTGACTATTAAAATTTTTATAGTAACTCTTAAGCAGAAAATGATTTTTATTTTATTTTTTGGTAGTCATTCTGAACCTTTTCTTTAAAAGTACTGAAAATACAACTCTTAAATATACAAAGAGCCCATGAATGTGTTTTATGGTGCAGCTATATTTAGTTTACCTGTTCATTTTATCAAATGCATGGATTCAAGTAGCTTGATGCATGATTTCTCAACTTCAGCCGGATGAGTCCCAAATGACTCGGCATCCAGAGGTTGTCCAGCAACTCAATTCAAAAGTTATATTTTAATTATTATTTTTTATTAAATTTGTGTACCGCCCTATACCCACGGATTTCCCTGTATTGGGAAGTTGTTGTTCTGTAGCCCAGAGTGGCTACAGAAACCCAGCCAGATGGGTGGGATACTACTACTACTACTGCTGCTGCTGCTATTTCAGGACCCTCATACCTACGGGACCACCTCTCCCGGTATGCCCATGGAGGAAACTGCAAGTAATCCAGAATGCGGCAGCCAGACTGGTGACTGGGAGTGGCTGCCGAGAACAAATAACACCAGTCCTGAAAAACCTAGTACGTTTCCTAGCACAATTCAAAGTGTTGGTGCTGACCTTTAAAGCCCTAAAAGGCCTTAGCCCAGTATACCTGAAGGAGCGTCTCCACCCCCATCGTTTAGCCTGGACACTGAGGTCCAGCTCTGAGGGCCTTCTGGCAGTTTCCTCATTGTGAGAAGTGAGGTTACAGGGAACAAGGCAGAGGGCCTTCTCAGTAGTGGCACCTGCCCTATGGAACACTCTCCCATCAGATGTCAAGGAAATAAACAACTATCTGACTTTTTATAAGATATCTGAAGGCAACCCTGTATAGGGAAGTTTTTAATGTCTGATATTTTATCATGTTTTTAATATTCTGTTGGGAGTTGCCCAGAGTGGCTGGGGGAAACCCAATCAGATGGGTGGGGTATAAATAATAGATGATGATGATGATGATGATGATGATGACAAACCATTGGCCCACCTAGTTCTGTATCTTCTACACTGACTGGCAGTGACTCTCCAGGCTTTCATGCAAAGCAGATTTTCCATCACAGAACTATGTCCCCCTCCAAATTGCTGTGCTTAAGAACTGAACAGATTTTATTTTAAAAGTCTCATTTTCAGCACTTCTGTTGGAAGTTCTTATTTTACTGCATCCCGGTTAATTACTTCAGGCTACCTAAATAATATAATACCAACTTGTCACTGCGATTTTCACACGTTTGTGGCTGTTATTCCATGTCTTGGAGGTGGGGGGAAAAAGAAATTCATTTCCTCCTTGGTATCCTCCTGTAAAGTCTAGGCCGGGGCTTGGTCTTTTGATTTCAAATAAAATGAAAATGGCAATTTAGGAAGAGAGGAAGCTGAGGGATTTTAGAATATGCCGTGTAACCGTGAGGTGAGGTGGGGAAGCATAGGACAGATCCACACAATGCATTTAAAGCATAGTCAACACATATTTAAAACACACGACTTACCCCAAATAATCATGGTAACTCCATTTCCCCCTTCTGGTTTCCAGCAACAAACTACACTTTCCAGGACACTTTGGGGGAAGTCATGTGGTTTCAATATGTGCTTTAGTGTGCATTTGACAATAGCAGCTGACACAGAGATATGTCCAGGTAATCTGATAATTGAACATATATCCCTGATTCGTTTGCAGGGATATTAGACAACATTTGGCTATTTATTGACAATTCATTATGGTTTGTGTGCTGGGAGGTTAGATGACACTGGGTCCAAGCAAGTGTTATCCTGCTTGGACTACTGCAATGCGCATGTGGAGCTACCTTTGAAGGTGATCTGGAAACTACAACTGATCCAGAATGTGGCAGCTAGACTGGTAAATAGGAATGGCCGCCGAGACCATGTAACACCTGTCCTGAAAGACCTACATTGGCTCCCAGTATGTTTCTGAGCACAATTCGAAGTGTCGGTGCTGACCTTTAAAGTCCCAAACGGCCTTGGTCCAGTATACCTGAAGGAGCGTCTCCACCCCCATTGTTCAGCCTGAGGTCCAGCTCCGAGGGCCTTCTGGTGGTTACCTCCTTGCGAGGAGTGAAGCTACAGGGAACCAGGAAGAGGGCCTTCTTGGTGGCAGTGTTGAGGATTCATTCCCTGTGTCTGCAGTCATGGGATTTTTGTCTATCACATGACGGTGTATGTTTTGACTCCACAGAGTGGGAAGTGACGGAGACAGGATGTTTGTGTTACTGTGTTCCGTGACTATTGTCCTTTGTTCATTCTCTTTGCTGTCTGATGCTAGAGAGAGGGGGAGCCATGTTGCAGTGCTCCGTGTGTGTTTATATGTAAATAAAGGTAGACTAGCCAAAATGCTGAGTTGCTGAGGTCTGTTACACAAGCTGCAAAGACTCTGCAGATCCCTAAGTTTGCCGATGTCTGTTGGCATCGGTCACTGTGATGTTCAGGCAGAAGAAAGCTTTTGAAGCTCCTGAACGATCAAAGCAGGAGGGAGGGAACATGCCAGTCGGGCACGTGTCTCTGCCAGGGTCCTACTTGAGAGTAGGACAAGCTCCTGACAAGTGGTGCCCGCCCTGTGGAACATCCTCCCATCAGATGTCAAGGAAATAAACAACTAGCTGACATTCTTTATCACATGAAGTCTTATCTTATCTTATGAAGTGGGTTTGTTGTGTAAGGCCTTCCAACTCATGATAGCTGTGCCACCTGAATTTGCCCTTATGTGATTGAATCCCACTTGAAGCTAGTGACAGTTTAGAAGCACTCAAAGGCTGAGGGCTTCACCAGCAATTGACATTTTTGTCAGAGATAGTTGAGTGCTTCCCTGCTTCAGAAGAAATACTACTGGCTCTCTGAGAGAGGATCTTTTTGGTGGTGACACCCAATTCCACCAACTCCCGAAGACAACTGGTTTAAGCAAGCATTCCCCTGAAGTGAACTTGTGGTTTTGTTTAAAAAATTCTTTCGTTGGGTTGTTTTTAAAATGTTTTATTGTATATTTTAATTAAATACATTTAAATGTTATTGTGTGGATTCTTTTAAAAAAAATGGATTGATTTTATACTTGTAAACCGCTTAACAGCCATTTTTGCATACAAATTGAATTGCAGTGCATTACATTGGCCACAGTCTGTCTCAAGAGACAATGGAGTGCACCTCCAGAGGTGAAGTCAAACCGCTGTTTTATCAACACCAGAGTGACCTCCCCAGGACTCAGGCCTGGGCAGTGTGTCTGGAGGTCCTGGGCTACCCAAACGACAAGACCCTCTCCTCTCGGCCTCACTGATGTGGCCCAAAGGAAAGCAGAGCAATATGTTTGGCGCCAGCTTGGTGGCAGGAGTTTAAATGGCATCTAAATTAAATAATAATAGAACACTGTCATCAGACCTGCTTTGCTGGTGTGTGAAGTTAAAAGGGTGCAGTCGTCCCACTGTAATCTTACTGAACAAACTACAGCAGAGAAATGCTAGCTGCACCAGAATTTAGTAAAATGTCAAAAGAGCAGACAAAAAGCTTGCAGATTTAAAAGCCTATTGAAACCAGGAGGAAAGGTCTTTAAAAGAAGCCTAAAAACTAACCCTGAAGGACCTTTTAATATTTTTTAGCTTCAGTAATAGGGTTAAGATATTTCAAAAAGGGGAAATCTGGACACAAAACTTGTTGAGTTTTTGCTTTTGCTTTTTTGACCAACATGGTGGAGCTTTTGCAAAAACGTGATGATGATGATGATGATGATGATGATGATAATGATAATTGTGAATTACAGGAAAGAAGAATGCTGGTGCTCTCGGGTTCTCCTTGAGGCTTTCCTGCAGGAACCTGTCTGGCCACTGTGAGAACAGGATGCTGTAAAAACAGGGCCTTCTCAGTGGATGCTCCTAGGCTTTAGACTGCCTCCCTCCTTCCTCTCTTTCCGTTGGCAGGCTTCTGGGAATGGACTGCTTTTAATGAAAGGGCTGGTGCCTTGCTGTTTTGTTGTAATTGTTTGTATGGCTTCAGCAGATTTTATTTTTAATTCTGTCAATGTTTGATTGTTTTTAATGATTGTTTTTCTTAGTTTTTATTTTTATCTGTAAATTTGCTTGAATCCCTGCCAAGGAAAAAGACAGGGTATGAATAAACAAATGTATAATAATAATAAATAATAATAATAATAATAATAGATTAGATGTACCTTTTGGGATGATCTAGTGGGGTTCTGCTTATATTCTTAAGAGATGCAGTCAGTTTTTTGGGCACAGTGGCATCGACTTTCACCTGGGATGAGCATGCGTATGTGTGTGGGAGAGAGAACTGCAACTCATCACTCCTGGCAGGTAATTCCAATGGCCTAGGTGGTGCTGTGGGTTAAACAACAGAGCCTAGGACTTGTCGATCAGAAGGTCAGCGGCTCGATTCCCTGCGACGGGGTGAGCTCCCGTTGCTCGGTCCCTGCTCCTGCCAACCTAGCAGTTCGAAAGCACGTCAAAGTGCAAGTAGATAAATAGGTACCGCTCCGGCGGGAAGCTAAACGGCGTTTCCGTGCGCTGCTCTGATTTGCCGGAAGCTGTACGCCGGCTCCCTCGGCCAATAAAGCGAGATGAGCGCCACAACCCCAGAGTCGGTCACGACTGGACCTAACGGTCAGGGGTCCCTTTACCTTTTAGGAGTTCTTGTTAACTCCCCACAATCTCCAGTTCTCATTCTTTCCAGCTCTTGTTCTGCAACAAGCATAGATGGGGGCTGCCATTGCTCCCGGGTTCTGTGAAGGAGCTTGTTGTGGAATTCTCTGGGCAACAGCCAAATGGGTCTTTAGCAATGGCCTCCTGATAATCTGTGGTGGTGCAGTTTGGAACAACAGAGCGTCCTCCTTTGCTCTGCATTTCTTACTTTTCATCCTCCTTCACTGCAGACTTTTTTATCCAAGCGCTGTTGATCACAGTGGGGTTGGGGGGGCACCCAAAGCATCATCATCTTTGCATCCTCCATCTCCGTCATTATTCACCACATTTTGATGCCCATAAAACACATTAAAAACTATTTCCTTGAGCAAGGGAGAGGGAGAGAGAAGCATCTCTCCGCTGTACATATCATTTGTATACTTGAATTGTAAAATGTAAATTGATATATAAGAAAATGCCCCATTAACTTTTTCATTAATGACAATAATACATTTCGTGTCGCAACTGGAGGAGGGTCTTGCATCCAGTTGAGAGAACCTGAAGGATGAGTGGCAAGTGTGCCGGAACGTCGTAAAACTGATGATCAGTCAATGTACTTGGAGAGATTAAAGGAAGAAGGTGATATCACTTCTCTGACTTATGTTCCTTAGAACAAGGCATTGTGTGTATGCTTTTGAGAGCCGGTGTGGTGTAGTGGTTAAGAGCGGTGGACTCGTAATCTGGTGAACAGGGTTCGCTTTCCCGCTCCTCCACATGCAGCTGCTGGGTGACCTTGGGCTAGTCACATTTCTTTGAGGTCTCTCAGCCTCACTCACCTCACTCTTGTACTTAGTTGCTAAAATAGGGTTCTGTGGTGGTCATAAAGGAGTCATAAATTACTGAGGAAGTATCTGATACAGTGGTGCCTCGCAAGACGAAATTAATCCGTTCCGCGAGTCTCTTCGTCTTGCGGTTTTTTCGTCTTGCGAAGCACGGCTATTAGCGGCTTAGCGGCTATTAGCGGCTATTAGCGGCTTAGCGGCTTAGCGGCTTAGCGGCTTTAAGAAAAAGGAAACAAACTCGCAAGAACTCGCAAGACGTTTCGTCTTGCGAAGCAAGCCCATAGGGAAATTCGTCTTGCGGAATGACTCAAAAAACAGAAAACTCTTTCGTCTAGCGAGTTTTTCATCTTGCGAGGCATTCGTCTTGCGGGGCACCACTGTATGTTTGAAGGGTAGTAGTTATGAAAAGGTCCGGCTAAAAACTTGTGACATTTCTCGGCCAAAGGTCAGCCAGCATGGTATAGTGGTTAGGAGCAGTGGACTCATAATCTGGTGAACCAGGTTCGCTTCCCCGCTCCTCCACATGCAGCTGCTGGGTGACCTTGGGCCAGTCACACTTCTCTGAAGTCTCTCAGCCTCACTCACCTCACAGAGTGTTTGTTGTGGGGGAGGAAGGGAAAGGAGATTGTTAGCCGCTTTGAGACTCCTTAAGAGGAGTGAAAGATGGGATAGCAAGTCCAAACTCTTCTTCTACCTCCATCCAGGTCTTGTCAGGGACTGGACTGAGGAGGAATGGTGGGTGCAACGCCCCCTTCTCCTGAACCTTCCCAAGGACAGAAGGTCAGCATAGATTTAGAACAGTGGTTTGCAGAAGGGCATCGTTCAGAGGCTGCAGAGGAGAGAAGCTGGGAAATACTGGAAGAGGAACAGCAGGAAGAGGAAACACCAAGGGAGAGACAGCTGACAGACTCAGTGTCTTTGGAAAGTATTCTTGACACCCCCCCCCACTACGATGAGGCGGGCACTGAGTACAGCGGAACAGAAAGCTCAGCGACAGAATAAGAAAGTCACAATAACTTATATAAAATAAAGCAGTATTCAATAATCCATTAGACTATCATAGTAAACAGTAAAATTAAATATCCGCAAATAATAATTAAACAGTTCACACTAATCAATGACCATAAAGATCTACTAAACTAGAATCAATAAAAATAACGGCAGGTCACAATGCACAAAATGCCACAAAACATACAAAACCATGTAAAAGGACTGAATTGAGAAACAAGGACACACAACTTACACAATATGTTTTAAAAATATATATCCCTGAAGTCCTCTCTTCCCAGCTGCTTCTGCTCTTCTCAAAGTCAGGGTCTGGGAAAGGCTCTTAGAACTCGAGGGTGGGGGTAAGGCAGGTGGGAAAAGCCATTGCCCCTTGAGGGTGGAGAACTGGGTGCTTGGCAGGACTCTTGAAATGGTAAAGAACAGTCCATCACCCAACGGTACAGCTGTTGCAATGAACATGGAGGAAGGTTAGAGGCCTTTTTCATAGAATCATGGAATTATAGAGTTGGAAGGGACCCTGAGCCTGCTGGCTTGGGACAATGGCCCATTGAGTCAAGTACAATGGTACCTCGGGTTACAGATGCTTCAGGTTACAGACTCTGCTAACCCAGAAATAGTATCTGGGGTTAAGAACTTTGCTTTAGGTTGAGAACAGAAATCGTGCAGCGGTGGCGTGGTGGCAGTGGGAGGCCCCATTAGCTAAAGTGATCCTTCAGGTTAAGAACAGTTTCAGGTTAAGAACGGACCTCTGGAATGAATTAAGTTCTTAACCCGAGGTACCACTGTATGCTGTTCTCACCGTGGCCAGCAAGATGCCTGCGGGAAACTCTCAGGCAAGACCCAGGCACAAAAGCATCCTCCAACTTCTGTGGTTTCTAGCAACTGGTATTCAGAAGCCTTGCCACCTCCAGCTGCGTAGGCAGAGCACAGCCATCATGCCTAGTAGCCATAAGTGGCTCTTTTCTCCAGGAATTTGTCCAATCCACTTTTTAAGCCATCACCTTCCTGCTAATTTCCCCCCTCTTTAACAGAAAAGCAGCGTATGGAAATCAAAATCAAACTCAATCAAATTGGATAGAACAGACACCTCCCTGCCCCGTCCACCTGCCCGAATGTATGTGCATTGTTGCAAATTTGGAAACATAGCAACTTCCTTGATATATAATTGAATAAACCACCTTGTGCCTTTCGAGGTGATAAGAGCAGCCATAGCCATCCGGTTCCTAAGGAATGAACTCATCCTTGTTGCTGGATGACGATCTGTCAGATCGCCAGATTGCCTTCCATTTGATTAAAACAGAGATTAATAATTTGCCTATAACCGATACATCACACACCAAGAGATAAAAGAGCATCTGATATTAAACATGCAGTGAATTTTTTGGGGGGTTGGGATCTGCCTTCAGTAAATTGCATAGAGAAATTACACAGTACATTTAAATTACCATTTGCTTAGCAACATGCCCTTCCCGACATTCCGGTGGGGCTATAAAATGATCGATTTACTTTAATTTTCTACTGAATCCCAGGAATACACACACACACACACACACACGGCTATCGGTAACCTACACCCCTTTATCATGGCCTGCTGATTCGCTCTGTGTATTAAATTTTCTGGCAAGGAGCAAGGCGTTAACAAAAAGTAACAGATAATGCGAACATTTCATGCATAATCTGTAATATGAGATATGTATTAATAGGGAAATTATGATGCATTCAATTATTCTGAAATGCCTTCCAGAGATGTTTTGATTTGGCTGCACACTGATAGCGGAGTCACAGCAGGGAACATGCAGTATGATGAATAACCTAATCTGGTAATCTTAAAATGGGCACTATTCACAGTTAGCCCAGGAGCAGAATGGGGTGGAAGCCTCTATGCTTTGCGGATATGGCTCTGGAAATATTATTTTTTAAAATAATAATAATAATAATAATAACAATAATAGACCCTCAAGTTTAATTAACAATACACAGACACCTCTGATTTGACAAGTTACGATTCTTGTCTGAAAGCGGAGGGACACTCTGTCCGCTATTCATTGCAAGGATGTGAGGTGAAAATCATTTCCAAACATTCCTGCATCTGCATTCATTGCAACTGGCCTTAAGCCCATGTCCAGACTGTTTCACTTCAGAATGGCTCATGAAGCAGACAGCTCCTCAATATGGAGTGGGGAATCCCTGCATTCAGAAAATTAGATGTCAGGGAGAAAGCTAAACTAGGGCCCTTCTCCCTGCCAAGCTACTGTACTACGTTGCAGGGATTTTATTATTTATTTATTTATTTATTTATTTATTTATTATTATTTGGTTGTGCGCTCTCTCTCTCTCTCTCTCCCTCCCTCCTCTCTCAGTCTGGAGGAGTACTAATCAATCAATCAATCAATCAATCAATCAATCAGAAGAGGTGCAGCCCGGATGCAGATTTAGTACCTCAGTGAGAACAAGTAACAATATGCAAAAATAAAACCCTTCATATTCTTGGCTCAGTGCACATTAGGAAAGATATTTGTCAACAGAAGATAGATAGATAGATAGATAGATAGATAGATAGATAGATGATATAGAGGATAGATAGACAGATATAGATAGATAGATAGATAGATGATAGATAGATAGATGATAGATAGATAGACAGACAGATAGACAGATGATATAGATAGACAGACACCCCCACCCCCGCATAACACACACACATATATGCACAGTACTTTTTTCTGGGGGGACACAGGGGGCGCATAACCCTAAACATTTTGTGAATCTAAGTTTGGCCTCAATGCGGGGCATTATTTCAATATGAGTAGGAAGATGAGAGTACCCCTAAACATTTTTAAAGAAAAAAAGCACTGGGTAGATAGATTAGATAGCTAGCTAGATAGATAGATGATAGATATAGATAGATAGATGATATAGATAGATAGATAGATAGATAGATAGATAGATAGATAGATGATAGATAGATAGATAGATGATAGATAGATAGATAGATAGATAGATAGATGATAGATAGATAGATAGATAGATAGATAGATAGATAGAGATAGATGATAGACAATATAGATAGATAGATAATAGACAGATAGATAGACAGATAGATAGACAGATAGATGATAGATGTTTGTGGAAAGCACCCCACTGAAAATGTTTTCATCTGTTTACATGGCAAGCCGTGTAATACGGTCCATGCAACGCACTAGTCATTAAGTCTCATTTTTCTTAATCCCCTTGCAGTGAAGGCTTGGATGCTTGGAGCACACGTACTCTAAGCAGTTGAACAACCTTTCAAGGCGGTGTCCTGCCACCCCCTCCATCCCTTCATTGCAAGGCTGTCCTTACACAAGTGGGGTTTAACTTTCTCCTTTCTTAATTTGGATTACCTAATCGGCAAAAAGCCACATTCCCGATAGTAACTTCAACATCCCCTCCACAGACGAAAAGCCAATTGCAAGCCTAAAAAGGAAAGCAGAGCAAATTGGCTGTGATGGATATCTTCTCCCTCTTCTGTAGGAGGCAGAATGTCTCTGAAGACGAGCTGCAGAGAATCTCAGGTTGGGAGGTGACACCATTGTTGAACTCGAGTTGTGCAATGCTAGCTTAAGAGGGCAGCAACTTCAATGGCAGGCAAAACTGATGGAGTATGCAGAGATGGAGAAACTGACGGGGAAGATCAGAAATCAGGAAGATCGAGTATTTTTTAGATGGCTGGAGTAAATTCTTAATTTATTTAAAAGACCACTTTAAACAGTTAAAAAATCATTGACAGGGATGTAATGACACTTGTAATGTGGAACTAGTTACGGTAACTATGGATATACAACAGGTGGGTAATGGTAAAAGATGCAGAAATTTTTTATTTTAAATGTGCAACCCATGGAGGGAGTGAAGGTCCAAAAGAACCTTTTGTTGTTTGAAATGGTTAAAGTTAAAATGTACAAAATTATGTAAAACCAATAAAAATATTATTTAAAAAAAGAGAGTGGCAACTTCACCCCTACCCCCCAAAAAAAGAAAACATAGGTTTGCTTAAAATTTGAGTGCTATTTTATACCTGTAGATCCACACTGAGGAATTAATTACAATAATTTCAGTAGGGGGAAAGACATCTTGCCATGGTGCAGAAGACTGAGACAATGTTGCCTGGGTGGTTTAACAATCGCTCCCTCTTCCCAGGGAACTCCAGGCTGTGCTACTCGGTGAGTGTGCAAAGGACTGGGCTATTATTCGCTACCTTACCCTAGCTTTCATTTCGATCCCAGCCCATTGGCTCAGCTGGAAAGGGTACCAACTGGATCATCCGCATCCTTGTCCCATCCCTCCACGCACATCCTTTAAAAGACAAAAATACCCCAAGCAGTCAAAGCGATTGTCAATTATCAGGAAATGCTAATAATATTAATGCGAGCGTTAGTGCATTTGTCTAATCTTCTGCGATTATCTTGCCTGAAGAATAACAGATGTTCTTCTCCAGACATCTTAATGTGGCGCTTTTAAAAATTACTGGCTGTGTAGCATGCAAACAGAGAGAGGAGCAAAGAAGGGTCCTACACTTAAACCAGCCGATTTGTTCTAAGGAGAGCTATCGGCGGATTTAAAAGATTTGATTAACTCATCACCTGGTTTCAAAAACGATTAATCGCTTAAAAGTTGGGCCAGCT